CTCTTTCTCTCTCTGCAGGAACCTGGACCCAAACCGTCGGGTTTTTCAATTTAACGAATGAAAGTGTCCGCATTCGGACTTCATCAAATCCGCAAACGGTCTTTGATTCGAAATTTTTCAATTCCATTTAAATCAGATTATGTTGTGTTTATATTTCGATTTTGGAGGGAAATAGAATATGTTGGGTTGTATAAGAAGAGATTTAAATGTTCAACCTACTCTACAAAATTTGATTAATGAGATAGAGGTATAGGTGCTTAATATAGTTAACATAGCCAGGTAATAGGTAACTATTAAGTTAATATATAATTATCACTTCCCAAAATGCATCCAGAAGCTGATTAGACCCCTTACAGTATGCAGGATGACAGGTCCCGATCGTGTGGCCCCCTGATTCAATGATTATAATTAATTATAATTATATACCACAGTTATAAAGAAGGCGTAATTGACAATCTAGGGGTGAATTAAATCCGAGTGCTCAGAGAACAAGGATTACAATATGTGAGGTATTCGAACTCGGACTCCCCGGAAACCAGATGGCATTCTGGACATGTCTACTCCGTATTACTCAAATAAAATATCTTGACTGTATGTTGTACAATTATTAGTACTTTGTATTGAGGATCACATTATTCAACCCTCGTGTATTGGTGGATCTCACTATCTTTTAGTGAAGCGATCAGTTATTCCCCAATTCTTTGCCGTGCGTGCTGACCATCCCCATAATTTATTGACCAATCGAGAGTCCAATTCTAGGCAGGCAAAATCCGATTGGGCTTGTCACTGCTCACATCGATGTGTCGCGTGTGCTCTGTTTGGCATGCACGTTCCCCGTACCCCGTACAAACTCCAGCACCGTCACTGAGGCATGTCGAAGCCAGGTAACAGCCAGGTCGCGCACTTTCCCCCTCGCTTGCTTCTCCCCAGTCTCACCCCCAAAACTACCCCCCACCATTCGTTGCCATTCTCCTATCTCACCCGGACAGTCGCTGCAGGCGACTCGAGCTCAGCGCAGATCTTTTCCAATACCAGGCGTAGGTGGGTAGATCAGGTGGTAGATAGGTATCAGCTGGTGTCATTCCACGAAAGGCACAACGAACATTTGCCAGATTGAAGGTGTTGATGCAGCCTTGTGGGGCAGCACCGTCCACGCCACCCGCCCCCAACTGAGCTCTCCCCACAGCTACCGGCCCGTCAACCTCGGTGCGTCAGGGGTTCATCGCTAATGGCACGCCATCTTTGACCAGAGTGGTTTAATTCGCGAAAACCTCGGAACAACAACAAAAGAGGTCACAGTAACCCTTGTCGTCGGGCCTGTGCGCAAAGAGCCGATCGAGGATATATAGACACAGCTTAAATGGGGCTGGCCACTTACGCTAAGATAGTGGGCACGGCTTTACCTTTCTTGAATGACTACGTTGATGCAAATAATGAATCAATCGCGCTTGACAGTTTGGTTCAGTCAACAGGAACGACCGCCAGGTTTATGGCAGAACTGAGAGAACGGTCCCAACTAGAACAGCACGCCGAATATCTCTACCAGAAAACGTCTCTACCCAGGCTCACAGCTATTATTTGCAAACTAAACTGACCTAGCCGTGACAGCCGCGGTCGGCCTAGCCACCTATGACGCGCACATAGACTCACCCCTTCGGTGAATTGCATGCTTATGTTGCCAACGGACTTAAATCGCCGCTCTCATCTGATCCATGTTGGGTTGAGCCCAGTGATGTGTATATTCTTTCTGTGATATGCCTACGCTTGGTAATTATTTTGCTATGGTAGCTTTGGAGGGGACTGCATCCGTGGATAGCAATACTTGGGCTTAGTGAGTAATTTGCATTGTTATTTGCATTTACATTGGGAATAGTCTCTTTCGTCTTATATATCTGGAATACGTGATCCTATTGTCGGTGTCAGTTCTCCGGGTCAGAAAATCTCCCCTGGGAGCCGATCATCTTCGAAGATAGAAGTCGTGATATTGGAGTCAAGTCATGCGGCTTCCCCCGATGCCGATGGATGTACCTGCCGCCGAGGAACCTTGATGTCAACCAAGTTGTGTTACACGGCCAATCGTACCGGCAACTACCACAGCACGAAATAGCCGAGCTACACTACATCTGCTCTATGTTTTCTTTCATTCCTACTCTGACAAACAGCAACTGTACGCTTCCTGGTTTGGTTAATGCTGATAACTTATTCGGGGAGCCCTGGGGAGTTTAAATATGCAGTTTATCTTCGCTATCTTCGCTCAGGGCACTCTTATACGTGTCTTCCCCCGATGACTTTGCACTTTCTCGAGTCAAGGTTCAAGGTGGCACCACCAGCCATCTCAATCTGGTGGTGTGCAGTATACGAGGAAATACTCCCTCTGGGTTACCATTCTCAGCGGCGGAGCTTTGGAGACCCGGCGTGTATACAATTAAAAATGGCGCAGATATATATGCCGTCGAAAAAGTCATTCGTGTGTTGACGAAATCCAATGACGTCCCAAATGTGTCCGCTAGCCAGACCGCCGCCAAACTTCAATCTCTCATTCTCAAGGCCAAATTCGATGTCCAGACCAATGGCACTTAACACAAAATTGGGTGGAAGGTGCACCTGACGCCATGTTTTACGCCTTCTTGTCCTGAAATACCAAACGCATCAAGTGATACTGTTAGTATCATCAGCACCAATCTCTGTCGAACTTCCAAACCGGGGAGCAAGGCTTATGCCCCGCTATCAACCCAAAGACAAGTATGTGGTGGTTTTTTTTCATCTTGGCAGTTAACCAAATACTGATCACCGGTTAGTGGACACCGGAAATCCCCCTAAAGGCGCGTATCATTACCTGCGGAGTTCGGCCTTACCATTACCCCGAGCAGTCCCACTACAGGCCCACTACAAGTCCTACACATCGCAGAAAATCTAAGCGATCAGATAATCAAGCCCGGAGGTCGCGAAGTATCCAGCTAGTCAACTGGACCCTTGTTCTGATGCAGCTACTATTGCCGCCCAGCACAACTCATCACCTCAGATCCTTGACCTCCTAATTGTGGATTGACGGTATAAATTTATAACAACCTTGAATCCTGGCCGCCTACCAAATTAAAGGCTTCAACTTGCCCACGACGAGAAAATGAGGCGGCATCTTCTTCCATCCATGAAGCCACATATTAAGGCGCTATCTCAATACTATTGCAGGTTGATCTCGCTCTCCCCATGCCGATCCATGTAATTCCCCTAAAAGCGTTAGCGCCAGATGACCTTCGATGTGACATTACATCCGTCGTATGTTCGGTCAGATCTAGAAAATGGCGCTGCCTAACATCCTGGCAATGACCCCACACCGCGCAGTGAGAATGTTGCTTATTAGCGAAGTGAAGGCGTCAGCCTTACGAAAGGCCGGGGGGTAAATAGACTAAGAGTCACCTGTCTCATACAATTAGCCTGAATCTGAGGAGTTTCGCATCCACCAAACCCGAGCCACAAAGTCGAGCAGTTACAAAAGCCGATCTATGTTGTAAGTGAGAAAATGATGTGTAGCCTTACATCTCGGACTCGAAAGGGGTGGATAGTCCCGAGGTCAGCATGGTCAGCAATCACGCCGTTTACCCATTTACTAAACGACGCTAAAGCAGACTAATCCAGTCAAAAACTACGTACAAGGGTTCCAAGATCCAGATAAAGAGAATGCTCTGTGGGCGGATCGGAAAGTCAGCCTGACAGGGCGCTGGGGTAGATTGCGTGCGAGCTAACAACCCGGCCCCGGGGGGCATAGGGGGTGGCGTATTTATCACCTTTAGTGGATGTGATAAGGGGGTAAGCTGTTTGATATGTATGTTATGTCTCGGAAGGGTCTGGGTAGCTCAAACTTCCAAGGCTCCATTGACTGAAATAAGTAAAAGGGCAGCAAAACTGACCGATCAATACAATGTAGGCTTTCCAAAATATTTCCATTTGGAATTCGAACCCGTACTCCGTATAGATAGGACCATGCGGAGCCCGCGGCTGTGGGGGAAATTATCGGAGCGGGTAAAAGCCAAGCCCAGTGGGAATGCCATGCGATCGATAACTAACCAATCCTATCTAGGTAGTATTAGTTTTCCCAAATAACCTTGGAAGAAATAAAACAGGCGTAGAGAGCTAAGCTAAGGCGAAACTGTGCTAATCAGCTTAGGGCATGGAAAGATCACGAGCTATAGGATAAAAAAGATATGTACCCGAGATGTGTTCACACTGGACATGCATAAGTTCATGGAACAGGGGTCCAAGCGCTTGCGTCTTCCCCGATCGGGGAAAAGCATCGCTCGTCGAGTGAAACTTATTTCGGATAGACTTGACTGGCCCCATAATTGCTAGTCCCAAAGAGGCTTTAGTGTGGATTGTTCTAGGGGCTAGTGGGGCTAGTGGGGGTTGCGGGAAACAGTTAAAGTGTCTGTGTGCATATACCCTCCTAGGACAGACTCCCGAACCTCTCTCGCATTAGTGCGCTTCAGGGTTAAGTATTTGCGTAGGAAATATCCCGCATAATACATCCGCTTTGCCGCTTTGCCTTGGAATATGGTTTGGATATCGGAAGTTTGAGCTTTTGAACGAGCAAGATAGGATGGGACCTTGGAAGAGGTGAATACCTCGGTAATACATTTGACCTAAAATGGATATACCTAGGTAGGCACAGAAACCAAGTTGGCTATGAACGGCTCAGTTATATATCGCGAATACGACGATCCCACCGACGGTGGGCAGTGGATTATGTCATATGAAGCACGAGCCATCCTGCATTTACCGATTCGGGACACAGCGCCACTCTTACTTACCTCTTTGGTGCTTTGAGTGCCGATTTGGCAAAACGGACATATCAAAATAATAACACCTAATCACCCCCCACCGCTTCGCTGAGATGACTTTTTTTAATGATATCAGGAAATCCTCCTTTCTTCTTCGGGTGTTATCTGGAGGACTATGATTCAAGTTCACTGCAGCCCCCGATTCAAATAAACATTAACTCTACAATGCAACCATGCGACTCAACATCCTCCTGGTCGAATAAGCGACGCCATACAAGTATGAAAAGTGACCGGCGCGTTAGAGTATGACACCCCGTGCTTAGGGCTTCTGGGCCCGATCCATTTCAGAGCTTTCAATTGATATGGAGGGTCTAGTCCCCATTGCTCATCTCCTTCTCTGATTCCTGTCTCCTCTCCCACATACTCTTACTAACCCAATCCTCACAGTATAAGGAACAGAGCTTAACCTGTGTCCATTTCCTGGATCGCAATATGCTCAGCCATTACCCGCCTCGGCCCCGATTAACCCGGCTAGATAACAAGTATGGGTCTTTCCTTCCCTCGACTAGCATTTCGCCATCATCTCCAAATCCCATGACAGGGTCCTCTCCCTCGCAGTCAAATCCTCAACTCCGACAAGAGCACCCACCAACATGCCTTGCAACCCACGTCGAAGAAACCCTTCACCTAAAAGACCTCGAACTGATGATGCACTGGTGCACAACAACCTACAAATCCATGGCAGGGGACACTGCCTCCGAACAAATATGGCAAATAACCATCCCCCAGCTCTCTCTCCGCTATCCAGCCCTTCGCCAAGGTATCCTAGCCCTCTCAGCGCTGCACCTTGCCTCAACAAGTACATCTTCCCGACGCTGGCCGTACCTTGAAACAGCACGCTCGTACCAAGCACAAGCACTAGCAGGTATCCATATCGAGGCCAACGAAAATGCACCAGAAGCAGAAAGCCAAGCGACCTTCGCGCTGTGCTGCATAATGATCGTATTCACCTTCGGCTTCTGCCAAATCGACAGCGAAAATGACTCCGACGAAGAGCTGCCCGACGTGCTGAACGAGTTCTTCGAGGTATTCCAGCTAACCCGGTGGTTAGTCAGCATCTTGCTGACCTCGATGGAACGCATCACAACGGGCGATCTGGACCCGCTCTTCCACCCCGAAGACCCGCTCCCAACAATGCCGGACATGTCGCGACTAGTGGTTCTCTCGCTACAACGACAGAACGACATAGAGGCCATGCGGGATGCGACGCACCAAACGGATCTGTATGACTCGGCCATCGAACATCTCAGTCACGCGCTTGAGCAGTTGATGAAGGGCGGCGAGCCCAAGGTATTTGCATTTTGGTGGAGTTCCCGTATCCCCGCGGAGTTTCTAGATCTGCTTGAGGCGCGTCGGCCGTTTGCGCTTGTTGTTCTGGCGCATTATTCGGTTATTCTGCATCATCTTAGGGGTTCGTGGTGGATGGGTGATTGGGGGAATAGGATTCTGCAGGAGATTGGGGATATTCTTGAACCGGAGTGGCAAGATCTTATTAACTGGCCGATTGATGCGACAGGGTGTTTCCTTCCGAGGACTGGGGCGTGCGTGCGAGTGGTATCCCCGCTTAGCTTTTGATGACGAGGTTTTGCATTTTCTTTGTGGTACCGTTTTCAAGTGGCTTGATTGAGCGTGAGCGATGCATCTAATGAGACAACGAAGGGTGTAATTAGCATAGACATATGATTGTATATAGCATAGTTTCTTCAATTGAGACAAGGATCGCTTGTCATGGGAAGTATATCATTTCTCGGTGTTTAGGAAACAATTCCGGAAAACACAGAATATCGGTGCAATACACATTGAAGCGTATGTTAATAGAGGTAAAACACAAGCCCACCCAAATATATCCCAAGCGCCGTTCCTTTCCCGGTATTCCATGATAGGTATATGAAGCAATTCCCGAGTGTATGTATGAAGTCGGGAACGCCGATTGGAGAAACCATGCGAAGAAAGGAAAAGAAAAAAAGCAAATACCATAAACCCATACATCCGACCGAGAGCTCGATGGAAAAATAAAAGATCCTCGCATCGAACCAGCACTGCCCGCAGTGATTTTTCTGATTCGTTTCTGCTCGGACAATCACCTCTTCCCGGATCGACACTGCAACTGCAGCCAAAGAAAAAGCAAATATTCTTCACGACCAATTCCAAACCGAACATCAGCCTTCATCGAGCCCTCTCAACAAAGAATAACATCAATCGTAAACCCAAATCCACCCCACCCTAAACCACCATAACAGCTTAAGAAGAAGAGGGCGAATCCCTCCGCAACTCCTGCCTCTCCTGTTCAAGCTCCTTAACACGGTCCTTAGATTGCGTGCGCACGCGAATAAGCTCCGCCTCCTGTTCCTGGATCTTCTTCTCATGCTCTTCCTCTTCAGGAGTAGGGATGTAGGCGTTTGCCGCGCCGCCTGTGGAAATAGCATATCCGTTAGCGGGTGTGACTTTAACAACCTCAACCTTGCAACCATCCCAGGTTACATGGGCTCTAACTATATCTTGTCATGTGTAGAACATACCTCGGCCCGTGTGGTGGGGGATCTGCTGGGCGCGTAGAGGCGGTGACTCGACGTCTTGGCTCTCGCGCGCAATTTCTGGTCGCTCCGGGTCGTTGTGTACCATGTTTCCTGAGCCGCCGCGTCCCGTTGTGTAGACTTCTTGCTTGATGGTTGGTGTCACGAGGTCTTTTGGTGAGGGCGCGGGTTGTTGGCGGGTTATGTTACCTGGGGGTATAGTGGGTTAGTTTAATGGACTGGTGTGGCGCGTTGGGAGAGATCGAGGAAGGCGGGGGTTGGCAGGCACATACCTGCGCCTCCGCGGCCATAGGAGATGTTTCTTGACATCGTGTAGAGAAGAAGATCAAAGACTGGTGAGTTGGTAGACCTCAAATACAGAAGTTTGAAGTTTGAATGGAGTCAAGGGAGAGATGTGGTGGGGAGAAATTCGCTATTCGCCAAATGACGACAGACTTTTTTTTTTTCTTGGCTCTTGATACTACTTAAGTATGTATGTACATAGTAGGAATATAGGAATAGAGGAATACGGGTATATTCTTATCTCTGTCCAATATATATTGTCTCTCTTATATTTTATTCTATATTCTTCTTATATTCTATATTCTATATCTATGAGTTCATAGATATCCTTATTTCTACTCTAAGCCAATGAGGTCAGGGTCTTGTCGGCCTTATCAGCCCTCTTAGGCGCCATCCTAATCCGGGGGAACTTTAATCAAATGGCATTGCACTTCTATTGACCTCAGTACATAGTGTACTAGGCTGGCTATCATCAGCTAGGGGGAAATTACATTAGTATGAGGGCTTAAAAGCAGTTCATGCACATTATAGAATATATCATGACGAGAACCAAAATTATTTCATTCTCCCAACTTTTGTATACTATTTCTGCCTGACACACTAGGCCTGTGTTAATGAGCATATATAAACTAGTCAATCCCTTCCTAGGTGGTCTGTGGAATTGGAACCTGTCTGTTCCTCTTTATATTCCTCTTTATATAACTATCAACTATAATCGGCATCTCTTCGCCAGTCAAGAGTTTTCTTCGTATCATAAATCGCACCGTCTATATTACCTATAACTAAACAAAATACCTGATCATCTTCTACAGTGCGCATAGCGCCTAAAGACCTGCCTGTGGAGCAAAATCGAGCTCCAGTCATTTCCGACCATACAGTCCATCAAGCGAGGTTTGGATCCAGCCTGGGACCCCCAAACCCCATTAGAGAGGTCAAATTTTCTGCTTTCAAAGCTCGTCCATAAAGGGGTCCCATTCTGGGAGATTTACGACATATTGGCTTGTCCTTATCTTCAATAAGTGCTGCCTCCATTCGCATAACGACTCGAAATTCCTACATATCTATAACGGCTATGTATGTTGGATGGTACGTTCGTTACCCTAAGCGTTGGTAACCTATGATGTACAACTGTACATGAGCTAAAGATAACATAGGTAAAGGGAGGCTCTTTTTAGGAGCTTCTGTTGCAGGCTATATCGACGGAAGTCGATGCGAATATATAGGAACTTGGGGCCAGGTACTTGAAGACGCCCGATGGGCCTGTGTAAACGTTGGACCTATACTTAACTGTAGGTTATGACCAGCGACTCTACGTACGACTACCTATAACCAGGTCAACCGGAAAGCCAATGTGGGTTGGAATTGTGTGGAAGTTTACTCCTTCCTATACGTGGGAGGCCAATTTACTCCCCCGTGATTTGCGACAATGCTACTCTCAAATCGGAGGACGGGGCCAAACCCACAAGCCGGGCTTTAGGGCAGGGCAGCAATGTCTCAATAACCACGATGTTTTCCATTTTTTGTCCAACGTCGGATTGCCCCTAAGAATACTTGAAATACCAGACCTCAACCCGCTACAGCTCGAAATTAGTTACATATGTAGTAGTAATATTGAACCCAGATGATGCCTTATAATGCCTTAGAAAAGATATATAAAGAGACATCTAGAAAGACAACTAGAAAGACCCCACGAAGAACATCCAAAAAAGAAGATCTAGTAAGATGTTAGTATAGTTATATAAAAGAGAAGTTGAAATTAATGTACCTTACTTCAAGAAGGCGGTGATAAAATAGGCTGTAAGATAGCTCCTTGTGTTTTGAAGAATCAGCCATTAGCCATTTATCTCGTAGTAATCTTGTATCGCCGTACTATCCTTCTCTATGCAATTCGGAATACAACACATTTCCTAACATATCAGATCGTGGTGATGTCGGTTGTCGCCCTTCCAGTCGCCGACCCATTCCGCTTACATAACCCGACTCCACCTCTTGAGGGCTCCAATTCTCACTTCACCTCTGCAAGACTTGGAATCTGCAATTAAGCCAATTCCAATTCCTCTCCAAAATGAATGCCAATCCCATCAGCATGTCCATCCGCACAGCCATGTCTCTTGGCCGACTAAACCCCGCCGCGCCCTCGCTCGCCGGCGCTCTTCGTCCTCTCCACCAGACCACTTCTAAACAGCTCACACGCCTCAGCTCCACGACAGCTCGTCCGGCTGCCGCAACACTGAACCTGGACTCCCGGCCACACGCCAAGGCCGCGTCTCCATCATCAATTACCCTGCGCGCAAACTCGACCACAGCACCTGCCAACAACGAAGTCAAGCTCGACTGGGACTCCTTCTTTAAGCTCCGCGCCTCCCGCCGTCGATACTCCCTCGTCTCCTCAGTTGCCAGCTCCGCTATCAGCACCACAGCCGGTGTGCAGGTTCTGTCCGGACAGGACCTTGAACATCTCGGCGCCACGGTTATGGGCCTCGACCCATTTGTTGTCCTGGGATTGGCCACCGCTGCATGCGGTGCCGTCGGATGGCTTCTTGGACCGGCTCTTGGAAATGGTATTTGGGGACTTGTGTACAGGAAGTACAAGCCGTCCGTCAACACGGTGAGTAGTTGCAAAATAAAGCGGCGGTTTATGTCTGATCTGTGCTAATGTGTTTTCTTTCCGTTGTGTAGAAAGAGAAGGAGTTCTTTGATCGCATTCGTCGGTTCCGTGTCGATCCCTCAACCAACTCGATCTCTAACCCCGTCCCCGATTACTACGGCGAGAAGATTGGCAGCGTGGCGGGCTACCGAAGCTGGTTGAAAGACCAGAGGGCTTACAACCGCAAGCGCCGCAACTTCATTGCCTAATTTCTTTTCTCTTTCTCTCTTTTCTCTGTTGTGATATTGGAGTATCTCTCTTTTTTTTTGGTTCGTGTCAATATGGTTGAAACTCTTCGAGCTTCTGTTCAAACCCAAATCTGGTGACTTTCTTTTTTGTCCGGGCCGGTGTTTATTTTGTTACAATATCATTAGCGGTCTTGGTAGCTGGGGCATTGCAATGTATTGGGAATTATCTTTGATAACGCGGTCAATTTATAGCTGTTTTTGCATGACATTTGTTTAGACATCTATTCCTTCGAACGGTCCTGTGTGCACTAAATGATACCAGAAAGTGCTACCCTCAATCATTAACATCCCCTCTTCTCCACCTCTTCAAAAGTACTGGCATCCCTATTACCATTTCCAATGTCGGACTTTGAATTTACAGCTTTGAAGGCGCCTTTGCTTTAGGATTTCGGCCAGTATCAACCTCCATCCACCACGGGACACTCGGTGGCGGATTATCATCAAGGTTAGCCTTGAAGTTCGGCTTTCGCTTCTCAAAGAACGCCCTAACGCCCTCCTTCTGGTCCCTGTGTGATAGTAAGTATCCGCAGCAAACTTCCCCATCTGGGGTTCACTTACTCTGATCCAAACATATGATTTATGACTTTGGACTCGATGAGATGAGCAGCCTCCGCCGAACCAGTATCGCGCCACATAAGCGCGCGATTAAGGTACGACGAAGCTGGACTCACATTCTCGGCGATATCAGTGGCTAGCTCGAGAGCGCGCGGCAGGATCTGCGATGGATCCGGGAGGATCTCATTGAAAAGGTCGCCGAAGTGCTTGGATGTCGGCGGGAAAACTCCTCCCGTGCTGACGAGGTAGCTGGCGTTTGAGTGGCCGACGAGACGGGGGAGGAAGTATGAGGAGCATGATTCTAGAGTTATACCTCGGCGGGCAAAGACGAAGCCGTATTTACCTTTTTCGTAGCCGATTCTAGAAGCACAAGAGATATTTATGTTAACCAAAGGGGTTGCTTTTGTGACATGTTATTGACTTACCGGATAATCGCTGGAAGAGACATAGTCATACCGACTCCAACGGCTGAGCCTTGCATTGCTACAATTGTTGGCTTGCGGCATCTATGGATGGCTAGTGCCACTCTTCCACCACTGGGTTGGGTTGCTTAGCAACAATATATATATATCAGACTATCGGCTGAGCATTCTCTTACCCGTCGCGATGGTCCGCCGTCCTGTCTCTACCACCGCCGAAACCAATTTCAAGGTCTGCACCAGCGCAGAATGTCTTTCCTGCGCCTGTCAAGACGACAACTTTCACGCGCTCGTCGACATCGAACATGGGGAAGAGCTTCTCGAAGTCCACGATCATTTGCGGAGTGAACGCATTATGTTTAGCAGGACGATTGAGCGTTACGATGACGACGGGGGTGACTGTAGGCGTGTCTGGGGGGTAGTGAGAGACGACGACATGGCCGGTTGTTTCGACCTTTTCGTAAGAAGATGGAAGTTCGATGGGGCTGGGATCGAAGATCATGATGGATTATGGGAAGTGTATAGTTTTTGTTCAAGTAAATATAGTCCATGTGCTTTAACTGCAACTTTCCTATATATCATGTCTCGGTTATATCTTTCAACACATCATAAACAGCCTACATTCTAACCGCGGCTCGGCTGGACTGACTGGCTTGGCGTGGAGAAAACTGGGGGATCACCCCGCTGCGGAGTCGTGGATTTCGATCTTGACTTGCATCAGACAAGGTTGCAGTGTGTTTGATAGATATCCTTATTCTAGTTATATTAAAAGTAGCTACGAAGCTATATACAACGAATTGTTCTGGACAACTTGGAATTTCGGCCTATTGTGTAATATAAAACGCCAGTCGTGGAACGGACATGATGATGTAGTGTAGTGATAAGCGGAGGATGGTAATAGGATTATGTAGTAGAATATAGGAGGTGGAGGTGGATGGTGACATGATATGAACAGTAGAGAAAATGGACAAACCTAACATACCAAACGGCAAACCTTCAAGGGCATTGCACTATGTCTCGCTTTGTTAGGGCCTTCTAAGGTTAGAAGGCGAAGGAATTGTTATGTTCCATCTTCATCCTAACTCAGACCATTGCCAGACTTCGAGAGAACACGGAGTCTGAAAACCAAGGCTGGCAGGACCACCCAATTTGTTCAACCCCGGAAGGATCCGACTCTAACCTAGGAACTGACCACTAGCTAGGGCAATCCAGGGCAAATTCTCATCCCAGCAGTGTTGCATCAATTGACGTGCATTTTGAATCTAGTAAGTACAATATCAGCAGATATCTCCAAACGAAGCCCAGACCAGTATAGAAGCGTACCTGTTTCATGCCCGAGTTCTCCAACAAAAGGAACCGGTCCAAAAGCTTATCTTTTTGAACTGAATCTCTAGATTCACAACCAGCCGTGAAGAGCGGGAACAAGGAGCAGACTTCAGTGGCTGCACCAGGGCGCATGCGGCCGAGGGCGTCGATGAGCTTGCGCAAGACCTCCTTCACGGGGAAGGAGTCAGGTGGAGATTTAAGGACACGCCGATGGAGATGCAGGAGACCAGCAAACCGGAAGGCTTCCTCGATGGCTATCATGTCCGAGGACTCAAGGCCATTATGGTGTTCCGGACTGGTATAAGCACGCTCGCCGATCACGTCGATATCATCAAGTACGGATTGCGCCTCGAAGACGATTTCCGCAGATGGATGCCAGTCATGTCGGAAGTTGCCCAGTTCGTCGAAACGCTGATTGTCGCATTCCTGCACCAGCCGTGCGAGACGGATCAGAAATACTCCAGTGCGGGCAGTAAACCCAGTAAAGCAGTCAACACCGAAATCATCATGGCCGTCCGGCGCGGAGCAAGCTGTTAAGATCGAGTGGTATATCATCAGCGGAGGACCGGCTTGTCGACAAGACAAAGATCCCATCGTGTCGAGGTAGCCCAGCCAGCGGGCGAAGAATGCCCCGATCCTGTTTCCAGGCTGCGCCATGCTCTCGCTCCGTGCAAGGAATAAATCACGAGCAAGCTTCAGGTGACTCTTCCAGGTAATCGGCACTTCAAATGTCCTTGGAGAAACGATCTTTAATGACAATAGCATAATGGCTGTGGCCAAGTGGCTGTCAGTGATGTCTTCATTGGATGACTCCAATGCCATACGTAGGGTTGGGAAAACCTGGCTAACCCAGTGAGCAATTCGATTGGCAGGCTCGGGATGACCTATGTATCTAGCACGATGACTAGCGGAGTATGCAAGCAGCAAATTGAGGAGATTGGAATCACCGATTGCCACTATTCGGTCAGCTTTCTGAAAGATGACATAACATATAACAGTACAACTCACTCGATGGCAAAACGGAAATAAACGGATTATTATCACAGTTGTGCGGGACAAGCATCCGAGCAGTGTGGTTCAGGAAATGATGGAAGTACATCAAATTGATGGGGTTCTCCAGCAGCGATGATGGGAGCGGAGATAAGTACCTCGGGACATTGATGGGTACGGGAGAAGCATAGTAACCACTACAAAATTGGACCTGTGGTTCGGGGTTAGGTTGAGAGATTTTCGTCTGCGAGGGGTCCTCGTTGCGCCACCGAGAACTGATCAAATCCAACGCATAGTTGATATCTATGGCAGCATGATCGTTATTAAAAGTTAGATCCTGGTCAGGGCGCCCGGAGTCCAATCCATAATTGTCGGTTACACTGTTCAGATATGTTTGCCATTTGCTCCGGGCCATTGAAGACTCGTGGGATGTCTGATCAGTTTCATGATTGCTCTCTGCTAATACCTGATGGCCCGGAGTCAATTCAATGTGATAGTCAGGTACAGAGCCCATGTGGCCGGTTGTCTCGTGGAGCCTCGGAGATGTAGTTTCGTCATTTTCAGCAATCGACACTCTGTGAGAATCGAAAAGCATGGGGGACAGACCACCAGTATCCTGTGGGTTGTTTGAGGATCCGTTTTGCCCTGTCCCAGACCCAGGGCCAATATGCATGCCCTGGTTATCAGACGACCCTCGAGAAAGGTGGCATTCATCACGAGAGTGGGAACTAGATGGGTCCAAGCAATGATTGGAAGCATCCACAGGGTGGCGTAGGTATGAAACTGGCTGTGATACAGACGTTGTATGGAACGCAAAGGCAGAGAGTGATCTGAGACCGGATGTCTGATCTACCGAATCTAGATATGACGGGGTATCAAAACTCCGCTGTCCAAATTGATATTGCAACGAAGGCGCCGAGCATACTGCTGCCGCCAATGGAGGAGATTGTTCTGCCCAGGTTGAGGAGAACCGAGGCTCTTGTTGGCCCGGCGATGTCACTCCTTCAGAGCCCGAGCCGAGCCTAGGGGATTCGAAAAGGCCCACTGGTGCTGGTGTACTTGGAGACATTGCTCTCGGCGAAGTCAAATCTCCGGGATGAATGTTAAGAAATCCGTCTGCGGGGTTGTTGCTTGTTGGGGTTGGGAACGAAGTCGGGCTCATATTGTTGATAGCGAATGAGTCCGTGAATCCAATTACAGCTCCCCCATACCCACTCGATTGTGAACTCGGCGAGTCAATTGACATACGTTTCGTCCTTCCTCCCCAGTTCAGACGGACATTATAGTCGCAAAGGTCACCTTGTCGCTGGCAATTAAGACATGCTGGTTTCTCCTCGCCACTAAATAGATAATGTTAGCCACATGAGTATCATGCAGGGATTGTGCTTCTCACCATTTTACCTTGCGTGCTTTGCACTGCCTAGTTGATAGTTAGCCTTGGCAAAAGCTTGAGTTAACAATTTAATAACGTACCAGCATCCCTTACGGCTTCGACGCTTCGGTTCTGGTGCACCAGGCCTTCTAGGACGAGGCATTGCACGTCGGAGGGCGCCTGGTCGAGTGTCGCAGCGACAATTCAAAATAATAGAGGCTCGAGATAGCCAAAGGTCGCTATGTACTATTTCACCGCCATACAGATTTGGTATTTTCAAGTCTGTGTCAATCAAATCG